CCATGGATCCAGTTGATCTGCACAATGATTTATTTCGCATAAATTTTTCTGCTGTTTTGGAATTGAATTCACAGTTCGGTATTACTTATGTTAATATATGGATTCAGTTTTATAGTTGGACCGGAGATATGTGATTTTGCATATAAACAGTTATGTTGATTCATGGAATTTTCCGCCATATGCAATCAGAGTGTGAATTATTGTAATTCATGATTTCATTGGTTGAATCCGTCAAGCCCTTTAAATGCGTATTTAGATTAATTATTCATGGCTGATAGACTCTGAAAACATGTGAAATGGATTAATTATATGTTGATATAACATTATGGGCCCCAAAATTGATATGGTGCAAATGAAACTAGGAAATTGTGGACAGACAACAGATTTGGACTCTGTTATTTTTTTATTCATTCATTGAAAATGAAACATGATTTATTTGGTCTAAGAATGAAATTTTTAGTGCAGAAAATGAAACATGCAGTTTATTTGATATTTTCAAGTAAGTATTTTTGTTTAATATTTTTAGTGCTATAAGGATTCATGTGATATTATAAATGCGTCTATTGTATATGAGAGGAAGATTATATACAAAAATGATAGAAATATTGGATATATATTATTGATGCGACATAGCTCAATTTATGATCATCTTTATAATATGGTTGGATGAAAAGATAGAATTGTGCAATTATGAAAATGGTGAAGTATTATTTAAAGAGTATCTATCAATCCAAATGTATAAGATTCAATTGAATATTAGTAGTCCCAGAAGGACACTAATATTAAACATTGATGGATAGAATGATTAGGACAATCTATAAGATGAGATTCAATATTTCATTTATCGATAGTCTGTTAGTTGACAATAAAGTTCTTATACGCTCCCTGAAGGATCTTTTATAAGTCAGCAATAAAGTTTGATATACTCCCTGAAGGATCAACACCGATACAAGTATGGAAATAAAAGAATAATTACACTCTGAGTAAGTCTAGATGACTAATTTTGAATTAAGATGCGATTAAATATTTTATGATATGTTATGAATTATTTGTATTCCTGAAGTAATACATGAGAATAATGAAATCCAATCAAATCAATATTCATGGGCACAATATATTCAGAATAGTGATATAAAAGTAGTTCATTGTGATTGTATTAGTGCCAGAAGCACATGTACAAAAGTATAAGTTTTTCACATGAGATATATGATAGAAATTATCTATCTTCTATAAGACTGTATATTTCCTTGATTCAATTGTCCATATTTGTATATGAGCATCTCTTGTTTGATATGTATCATATCATTCTTTACATTACT